CTCTCAGAGATTTCTTTTCTTAGGTGATTTTGCTTTTTCTTAAGGTCCAGATCAGCAACAGCCTCCAGAGCTGTGGCCACAGCCAGAGCCCCCACACTGCCGCCCACTGTCACCATCACAGGAGTCCGAGCTCCGCAGCCTGCACCTGTGGGACCTGCGGCGCCTGTGGTGGCTCAGGCAGCAGCCTCCCTCGGAGCTGGAGCTGAGGCCACCGCAGCCCCCAGAGCCGGCAGCAGAGCAGGAGGAGGCAGCAGAGCAGGAGGAGGCAGCAGGCAGGCACTGTGCTGGGCTCTTCTTGGGGCACTTGGGCAGGGGCACTTGGGAGGGGCTGGCACTGCTGCTGGTTCCGCAGGCAGGACATCTCTGAAGTCAGTGAACCTGAACAAAATAAAACCAAAGCAAAGTCCATGCGAATTCAGAGGCTTCAGGCCTGTGTTGCCTCATTCTCTGGTTTTGATGGAGATCTTTTCCCCCTAACCAAGTCAAGCCTTTACTCAGGATCTGTAGAATGCAAATGGAGATCAATTTGGAGTCCAACTGATCCTTTTCTTCTCTCCAGCCAGAAGGGCCGCTGACAGACTTGTATTTGAGCCTCCAGTGCTTCTGCACATGCCTTCCCTGGCTGTCCCACAGATTGATGTGAACAGCGCCCTCTGTGCACACAACGTGCAGCACCTCATTACCCTCCAGGCCTGGGCTTCCTCTGAGCCTTGTGAGGAGGAGGAAACTCAGTGAAGATTTGAGGAGGCAGCAAACGCACCTCTGGGAACCTGAAGGAGGGAACAGGGAGCCCGACTGGCTGCTTCACAGAACTTTAAGCATGGTCATTCCCCCAGTCCAGCCCTTCCCCCATCGACATTCCTGGTGCCCCCCAATAGGTCTGTAGGCCACCTGGCTCCATGGAGGCAGGAGGGGACACTTCCTGAGACTGAGGAATCCAGGACCTGAGCCCTTTTATCCTGAGGTGGGTTTTATGATGCGTGGCCCAGGTGTGTGTCTTTGTCTTCACCCAAAGGGCGGGTAAGAGTACCGCACACTCCCAAGACCAGGCATTCAGCATTTTCCTGTGCATATTATCTGGAATGACAAAAGGGAAACAGGAAGTTTCAATGAAGTCCAATTACCTGTGGCTCTGGCCCTCTGCTTCTCATTCCACTTTTATTACTTTATTTTGCTCACATACCCTGAACTCAGGATGTTTCCTCTGTGGCACTGACATAATGGAGACAACTTACACACATGCTGCCCTTGACCAGCTCACAGCCTGTCAGAAAGGCAGAAAAGTGGCCTCTGACATTTGATCCTAGGAGCTAAGTGATATGGCACAAGTGTATCACCGCTTATATGTGCTAATGCCCTGGCTTTGTAGGTCCCCTCAGGGTTGATATAATCAGCTTCTGTCTTGGAGTGATGATGGACCTGAGCTCACTGACCTGGGGATGTGATCTGGTTGGGTAAGGGGTGGGTGGAAGGATGGAGCTGTGGCCCAGCTTGAGAACAGAAGTTTCAGAGAGTAGCATGGCATCTGGGTGTAGCACCAGGTTCGCGGTGGGAAAGAAAGTGTGGAGGTAGGCCTGGGTGGTGGAGTGGAGATATAAAAATGTAGCCTTCTTTGTGAGGCTCTCCGGAGTCACAGCTGCTGGGGATAAAAGGACATGTCTTTGTGGCTGTTGGATGTGTGAAGCTGAATCTAATCCCATATATTATATTAATAGTTGATAAAGATTTTCTTAATTTGTCAGTAATGAGCCAGTTGATGGAATAGCATTCATTCACTTACTGAATAACCATGATAATGATTGAAGTTTGCAAATGGTGAATTTATGTAGACTGAGTGTCCGTTTTCATTGAGTTTTTATTATAGTATCAGTGAAAATCACGGGATTTACTTCTAGTAAGTTAATACAGAGTGCTTTAGAAGTAAAAGAAAAATCACTGTCATAATTTAATACTAATCTTCATTATTTCACATATCAAAAACAGCATAATGGTTGTATTATGTTTCTATCAACCAAGAAATTAAATTATATTTTAACTTTAACCTAAACATTTTGATCAGAGTATATGAAAGTCTTTAGAGACACATACCTGTTCTTCTGCACAAATACATTGTAAAAGAATATTACTTTCTTCCTTCTTCCTATCACTCCACTTTTAAAGTTTGCAGTATCATTACCTCTGTCATGAATTCTGTATAATTATGAATGAGTGTGTGGAAACTCCTTGTGGGGAGCTAGTGAAAGGCTGGGACAACCATGCATGTCTTAGGAGCATTCTGTGCTCTCTAGAGGGGAGTTTCTGACTCTGTGTTCCAATGTAGTCATAGACCTAGGCTGGAAGTGATATATATTTCCACACATTATCAGTATCAACGTGGTCATCTCGAACTTCCCTATAAGATAGTATTGTTAGAAGAGATGGTTACAAAGGATGAAATGGGCATTTGTGAAATGCAAGTTGAGCTGGCAGTGGCATGGTTGAGCACAAAAGAATGTGAAAGAAAACAAAAGTGTCTTCAGACAAAAGGAATAATCGTCAAGCAGAGCAGGGAAGGATGTTCCCAAAAGGGAAATTCAGCCCTATTGTAGGGAAGGGATGCTAACCTACTCTCGAGGTTCTACCTGCCTAAATGAATATGTATTTTCATCTGCTGTGGTTTTAGCACCATGTAATATCCAAATTTAGGTGCTCTTAAGTCTTTATCAGGCAAGGATCAGAACACATATCACTCAAGACACACATCCCACAAATTAGTCAGAAGCCAAAAGAGACATCTCAGAGACACCTAATAGGCATGTTCTTGTGAAATGCTACGGGTTTCTTAGTGGTTTCCCCTAAGCCAGTCCTTGATTTCTTATGTGGATGTTTCCATGAAGTTACTTCTCCTGTTTTCCTCTGGAGAAGGTGAGTCATGTTCCTCACCTTTCCACATATCCTTCACCTGATCAGAGTCAGAACTGGCCAGTAGAGCATGCATCTTATGATGACAGGATTGGCTCACTGACCAGCCCTCTGTCCCAGAGCATGATGGCAACTCTAGATGGAGAACACACAAGGAAGCTTCCTTCAAGGTCAGATACTCTGGGGTCCCGCAGGAGCATGGTGAAGACTGAATTAGGTTTAGCTAACTGAACCTTCAGAAGAGTATATCATCTGGTTATACCACTTTGTATAATAGGAACAGACAATATGCAGTAGGGTTACTTCAAAGAGGATATTTCACCCAGGTGCACTAGTGACAATCTAATCATTCAGCCAAGGACTTCACCCACAAACACATGTCTAACTTGACAAGTTACACTGTCTTCCTAGTTTGAGCCTTCCCCTCACTAAAGTGTTGTGAATGCCATGAAATGTACAGAAATTGTTTATAGGGGAGATGAGATGAAGGAGCCAGGAAATGCTACCTTGGCTTCCAATGTAGAGATGCTTTCCTTGGGTTCTTCTTGGATTTTGATACACACAGTGGTATGCAACATCATATTAATTCTTTGTGAACTCATTTTAGTAGGGTGAAGTTTTGGGAAAGGCATAGGAGATGTGCAGCAGGACGCCAGCCTATGAGCTTCCTATCTGCTGGAGCAAATGAACACAGAAAAGACAGCCAACCTGAGCTGTCATGCCAGTACCCTGCTCACAGAGTTGTCTAAGAGCAAAAGGATGCCTGCTGATGCACACTGATACTGACTGATAGAACCAAAACAGAATCTATGTCACCCTGCTGACACCATGTCACTGTGTCAGCATGTCAGGTTCCGGCAGGTCACGTGTCTGTCCCGAGAGAGTCCACCATAGACGGGGTGTTGGTCTGCGAGAGTAAACAGTAGGACATAGTTAGCTCTCCTCAACTTCTCCTTGCCTGTCTTTGAATTTACACTGGAGAAAAGGGGCTGCTGGAATGTGGAGGGGAAGTGACCCTCCAGAAAGGTCTGCCTCATGCTGAGGAGGAGGAGGAGGCGGCCTTGACTTGAGATGAAGAATTAAATAGAATTAAACTGGAACCTGGTGGAAAATTTGTATAAAAAATTAAGATATGTCCTCATCTGTTTATTCACTGGCAATGGCATCATCTGACTTCTGGTTCTTCCACAATGTCAAAATGATCCTGAAAGCTAAACATTTTGAATCAGTTCAGGACACTGAAGAAGCTATGACATAAACACACTAATTGCAAAGGACCTCCTGAAAATATATTTTTGCAAAAGGACTTTCTCAGTTGCTTCAGAAAGGGGAATGAATGCGTGGGTGTGAGTGAAGGGGAGTATTTTGAGGAAGACTAATGACAATGTGCTTTTTTTTTAACTATAATAATTAAAAATATTTAAAAGTACAATGCATTTTTCAATCACACCCTTCTGTCTGTGTCTCATAATGACTTGAGTCTACCTGGCTGGCAAAGGCTGAGCTCCATGCCTTGGGTCTGGCTCTCAGCATGTTGTAGAACTCAGCTGGAGATTGTGCTAGCCAGGCTGACTTACTCAGCCTTAGGCTTTACCACAATGGAGTCCAGGGGTGACTCCTCTGTCTGGACTTCTCATTATTCCCTATCTTTTCTCCTTTTTCCTTGTTTCTTCTTTTCTAACTTATTTGTAAGATTTGTGAGTCTTGAAAGAAAGCTTCCTTATTTTAGCCCTGAAGCTTTTCCTTTGGAGGCAGAGCTAGACGTTGGTGATTGTGACAAAGCCACCTTTCTTAAAGAGCTCAAGGCTGGGCTCTTAGTTATACCATAGCTCTGAGAGGAGAAGATGGAGCCTTTTACAGAAGCTGGACAGGTGACAGCCAATCTCTGCACTCTGCCTTTGCTCATCCCACTATGGGAGGCCTAGTGGGGAGCCCCTATGTGTCTTCTTTCTGTTGCCAATGAGAGAGATGAAGCTTCGGGAGCACATCCTTTCCTTTGGATGGTTCCCATTTGGAAGCCAGTGATTCCCAGGACACGGATCATTGTGTTAGGGGTTGTGAGGTTCCAGGTTGCAGTGCCCCTTTCCTTCACAGGAAACACCTAGTTATACCATCTCCTTTAAGGTATTTGATAGAAGGCAGGAGGAAGTAGTTCCATTGCTGGTGGTGGGTCTAAGAAGAGAAGGGATTATGAGAGATTGGGATTTGAAGACTTAGTGAATTCATTATTAGTGACTCATTGCCCATGTAAGATGGAAAATATGAATCCGTCAAGACAATACCACTCACCATTTAGCCCAATCACTATGGAATAGAATTATCACAGATGAGAGCAGGGAAGGAGGGCTCTTTTTACAGAATTTTGAACTTGATATCTCAGCAGGACTATCTGGTTTACATATATTTCTAGGATTTTAGTGGAAATGAGGCTGGGGCCTGGTGTCCTTCTAAGTCAGGAGA